ATCGGAAACATCACGCTGATTTTGTTAAGAATATTATTACAAATGAAAAATCCCCTATAAATATCACTGTAATTACAAAATTATCAATTCCCTAAATTATCAATTCCCTCAATTTATAATATAGCCATTCACCGTATATGAGCTGTTCTGCAATCTGATCGGTTGAATTACTCGCCGTATATCAGCTCATGTACGGCGAGTAGAGGGAAAAACAAGACGACGGTCCAAAAACTACATGAGTTTTGCGAAGCAGGCAAAAGGAAAATATTCGCTTTGAGAAAGATAATAGTACAAGGAAAAACTCTCAAAAAAATTTGACAGGTTAGGAAAATACATCAATTACATAGAAATTAGTTACCGAAAGAACAGCGAAAAAAACATGTTCATTGAGAATATAAATTGTTCAGAAAAGTTTGCAACGAAAGACAAATGAATTTGCAGTCAACAGGCACTTACTCTACTACCAAACATCTGTATAATATATCTGAGCTTTTCTGTGAGATATACCGGTTTTAAAACCATTTCTTTCACTTCGTCTTCGAGTTGTATTAAAAACAAAAGTATTTCAAACTTTCAAGGCTAAGCGGTTTTTGGCCGAACAAATTGTCAAGACATTGTAACAGAGGATAATTAATTATTGCTTCAGTTAATGGCTATTAGACTATATTATAAAACAATTATACCGTTCGCTCTCGTCGTATATGGCTGATAGCTCATATACGACTCGAGCTCATGGTATAATTGTTATACCATGAGCTCGTATAATTGTTATACCATGAGCTAAATGTAGGTTGCTTTTATGCTATCGAAAGAATGCGCGGAATGCGTGCAGGGCAGCCTAGTCCCTGGCCTTCCAAGCGCGGGCGAGTTACAGGCTGTCGTGAACTTGCGGGCTGTCAGTTTCGGAAAATATCCGAACTGGGTCGCGCTGGAAGGCCTAGCAAAATTCGCATAATCAACATGGCGGTGTATTTACGTGAATTGGATTAATCTTTACTATTGTATTAAAATGTAACGAAATGCTTTTAGAACACGTATTATATTTGAATTTTGTATTTTGTCAAGTTGATAAACCTTTCAGGACACCACTGGCACTGATAATTTGTTGGCTTTTCCACACAAAGACTGTGTTGACCGAAATGATTTGTTCAAAAATATAAATATTAACCAGCATTTCTCGACACAGCATTTAAAACCACACACTGGAAGTAATGGTAAGGTTAATGGAACAGAACTTTTCACTTGCTAATGAAAGGATGGTGCGATGAATTGATTTTTAGAAAGTACATTGCAGTATCAATACAAATATATTTGTCTTTAATATTATATTTAATATTTATTAATACCAAAGGTTTGACATATACCAGATTTAAAGGGTATTGGCAACAAAAATTGCTTCATCTATCTTATTGCTCCATCTGAAAGAGCATGAAAAAATAAGCCGATTGGCCGTTTAATGCTCTATTCTATCTCATCTAGTTCCGAAGTTATACGCAAAAATGTGAAAATATAAATTGCTGATTCAGCACAACGTGTGACGTCATTAGCTGGGTAAGTATGTTTATTGAATACTACACTGAAGCATAGCTCAGTTATTATGGGCCCAAATCAAATGAAATTTTGCATACTGATTGTACATGATGAGACCAATGGAAAAACACTTCTAATTTTGTTGCCAAGGTAACAATGTCGTTTCCAGGCCCCTTGCGCCAATTTTATGAAACAGCTTTATTCAAGGTACTGATAAGAATAAAATAATATCAGAAGTATGTGTATGATACCTATGCATGCCAAAAGTTTACTTGCATGATAATAATTCGAAAATGACATACACATAGATAAATGCAACTAGTTATTCAAAATCAGTGTAAGAGGCCTATGAACGACTGTGTTGCCTTGACAACGAAATTAGAAGTACTTTCCCATGCATCTCATCATGTACTATCTGTATGCAAAATTTCATTTGATTTGAGCAAATAATAACTCAGCT